ATCTTCCTAACCAAATATCTCAATAAATTAATATCTCTAGCTATAAGTGAAACAAAATATGATAATCCTGATATTACCAAAGGAAAAAATGATTGGTAATTTGAATGCTATCTTTCTATGATCCATATAAGATAAATGAAATAGAGTTACATGTACACAGAGACTACAAGTCTAAGTTTAGTAAGAGAATATATAAATGAAACAATAATATTATTTACCATTCGTCTCCCCCCCCCCCCCCAAAACCACATGCTTTTTTGCATGATGACAGGGACATAATATTACATTGACTCAGTTTTTAAATAATACTGTTCTCTTTTCTTTACAAAACAAATCATAATTCTGTTTCCTGGAATAATTTCAATGTTGGTGTCAAAATAATTTATTTGTTTGTGATTCGATTGGGAGATTAGCTAGAATAATCTATTTTTTTTTTAAATAGTTAGAATAACTTTACTATTTTTTTATTGGTGAAATAACATATTCTAGATTTTTGTTTTCTTTCATAATACTAAAATTATCTTTCGTAGATTCTACCGAGATATTGACAGACTCTGCTGAAACATTGACAGACTCTGTCGAAACATTGACAGACTCTACCGATGTATTGATAGATTCTGCCAATATCTAAAAATACGCAAACTCTGCCAAAACATTGGCAGACTCTGCCGAAACATTGGTAGATTCTGCCGAATTATTGGCAGACTCTGCGGAAACATTAGTAAACTCTACCGATGTATTGGCAGACTGTGCCAATATCTAGAAATACGCAGACTCTGCCAATACCTCGGCAAACTCTGCCAATATCTAGAAATACGCAGACTTTGTCAATACCTAGGCAGAGTCTGCCAAGGACAATTTTGGTATTATAAAAGAAAAAAAATCCAGAATAGGTTATTTCAACAATAAAAAAAATGGTAAGGTTATTCTAGTTATTTTTTTTTTAAAATAAGTTATTCTAGGTAAATTTTTCTTACTTAATATTTCAGAAAACATTTGGCCAATAGCAATATGGATTCCGGATTTAAATAAACAGAATATCATCTTTTCCAAATATAAAATTTGGAAGAAAAAATCCATAACTTAATGTGTGAAGTGGAGTAATAATGAT